GAACAGCGGTTGGGTTTCCGCGCGGCTGCTGTTCTTGTGAATTAAGATGGTTCCGATTTCTCGCCATGGGGCTTTTTTGCTCAGCCTGGATCTTTCCTGGAGCTCCAAGTGGGAAACGCTGAATTAATAGTATGAGCTGGATGCAATATATGGTTTGTGGTGAAATTTACCCCCAGGTAGACCAAGAGCGATGATGCGAAGACCTCAGCAACAGTGCAGCAAAAAAAACCCAGAAAGCAAATGATTCATATTCCCGGCTTTTTTCTTTTGCTGAGCGTTCTGATTTTTGCAGCCCGCATATGCCTGCTCATTTTCAAAATATTACTGCTGCATTCATTTTAGGGCGGTAACATTCAAAGATGGAAAACAAGTAGGAAAAAAAAGGAAAAAAATGCTAACAGATGAAAAGAATAAAGAAGCATATGCTTATACCAATTCAGTTTTTATATAAAAACTTGACCCTATGGAATATTAATATTTCCATTTTATCAATACAATGATGGTCTGAAATAAGACAAGCAAACACATTGTCAATCCAGGATTACAAATATGGAATGGTAGTCTTTCCATTGTAGCAAATAGTTTTTGCTATGCCCGTGCTTGATTAATTCATAGTTCTTTAAATCAATACATTACAATCTTTAGAGTTCCAAACCATCTTCATATTTTAGTGAACTCATATTTGAGCCTATTCTGTGACAATAAGAATGGCAAAGTTTTTTTTTTCCTGCACCTGTGGATTCTTGTTCTATACTTTTGTTCAAAATATATCCTCTATATATGCAAGGACAAATGGGACAAGAGACCATTGATTATCCAGATTATTTTATGGCTTTCCTCAAGGATAAAGTTCCTTCTGTCTGCTTTGGTTTGGAAAACAGTTGGCCAAAATCAAGTGAGGTGAGCCAGGAGATACTTTTCATGTCCCCTTGTGGAATCTAAGGAAATGCAGAGTCCATTTGGGGATTGGACCCATGCTCCTCCTAGCTTCTGAAGCATACCAATAGGGCATGAATGAAACTTTGATGAGAAAGAGCCTATATCAACCATCTTGAAAGAGGCAAACTGATGCAACCTCTGTGAAGAAGCCATTTCTCAACTGGTTGCGTTTGTCAAATTTGCCTTCCTCTTTTGAGCTGCAAAAGTGCCAGTATTTCAACAACAGAGGATCCTAGAGAAGATGAATTATTTAGTATTCCTATGTGATTATGACACAGTAGATGGAGGAAATGGACCCCCTGAGTCTTGTTTGACTTCTTGATTACCATTAATCATGGTATCCTTTTGAATTGCCTGCATGGTTTGGAAGTAAGAGATATCATTTCATGATGATTCTGCTCTTCTGAGCCCATAGTTCCAGGGATAGGGGATAAGACATTAAGGCCTCAGCTGCTGCAATGTGGGATGCCATAGGGCCGTGATGGTGAACCTAGGGACCGCGTGCCAGAAGTGGCATGCAGAGCCAGCTCTTCAGGGATGCGAGCTGTTGCCCCAGCTAAGTTCCACTGTGCATGTGTACGTGCCTCCTGCCAGTCAGCTGATTTTTGCATACGCGGGGGGGCGCATGTGGGAGATGCATGCACATGTGCAGGGGGAGTCCCCCGTGCATGTGCAGGGGGGTGGGGGCAGTGTGGGGGAATTGCATGTGCATTGCATTATGGGTGCAGGCACACATGCACTTTTGGCACGCAACGTCAAAAAAAGGTTAGCCATCACTGCCATGGGGTAGACCTCTCCCACATTATTTAATATCTATATGAAGCTCCAGTATATGAAGTTATATATTGGTCTGGGATGACATATCAGCTAGAGATTTATAGTTGTATTGAATTTGCAGCTGGAAATTGTGAGGATCTGGTTGGGGAGGAACAAGCACAAACTAGCAAGACAGAGCTGCTGGATGTCCATAAACATCAACGGGAGGGACTGATTCAATGGGAAGATGTTTTGCTGCCAGAACACTGTAGATTAGACATTGATTGTCTAAACTCTGCAATTAAGATAGCAAGAAAACTATTATTATACTTAAGTTTTGCTGATAAAATCCTATGCAGACAATTTCAACTGTTATGTGTTCAGAACAAAAAAAAAGGCCTATTCAAATTGTATCTTTCCCCTAGGGACATCCAGACAATGTGCTTTCCTACAGTTTGTCAGGCAGTACAAAAGTATACACCAGGATAATATTCTTTTATCTGCACAATCTTGTGGTAATGTAGCTAATGAGCAGTAGTATCCGAAATATTTATTGTGGGTCAACTTAAGATGCTGTAATTGATATATATTTTCTTGCTGACAGAATCAGTTGATCCCCCACTGTAGGCTGGAGCAAGGGTGGGAGAAGGCAGGTGGGTAGGGCAGGGACTTCAATCATTTGTCAGAAACTTAGTTTCTGGTTACAACCTCTGGAGATCATGGAAATACTTTAGCAATAATAGTTACACCACTATTTTTTAAGCAGTAAATTGGCACCTCTTTCAAGTGACCTGTTAAACCTGTACGCACATCAATAAACAAGTGAACAAACAGGTTGCAGAGAATCATTAGAAAGTGGGTGCTTGTGCAAGATCTCAGTTCTATTTGAGCTGATTTTCAACCCATGCCATGTACTGCCAGCATGCACAGGGCTTGGGGAGCAAGCAGTTCTTGCCAGTGGATTGCTATGCATGTGAGGCCCATGAATAGGGAATTCTATTGACTGCTAATGTTTTGTAGCTCACACTTTTAGAAATACTGCTCTAGGTAATGAACAGATTTATTTAAAATGGCAGGACATTATAGGATGGTTGTATCGTAATAATAAAAAAGCAGCTGATTTATGAGTAACAGTGCTTAACTGACCTTAGTTGAATTTTCAAATAAAAGGTTAAGTGGAGTAAGATCTGGTTAGTATTTATATATTTATCTTGTGCCTTTGAGTCAATGTTGACTCCTGGCAAAAGCCTACACAAGTCTATTTAGTTTTATTGGCAATATTTCACAAATGGCCTATTGCCTCCTTCCTACACTGAGAGAGAGAGCGATTGGCCCAAAGTCACCCAGTTAACTTTGTTCTTAAGGTGGGACTAGAATTCATAATATCCTAGTTCTGGCCTGATTCTTCAGCCACTGCAATACACCAAATTGGTTCTTTGTTAGTACTTGGTCACAATGAAATCCAGATCTATAGACTAGATTGGGAAATTAAAAAGATATCACCTAAGAAAACAATTTGCACATTGTTTCAAGGCAAATTTCATTCATGTAGTCAACAGGAGTCAAAAGAGCAGCCTCTTCCAAATTTATTTACTTTAGGAAATTTATTTAGCGCTGCTTATTTGCACATGGCAACTCAAGACAGCTTACAAGAATATAAAAACCTCATATAAAAAACAATAAAACTAATACGAGAACCATATAATAAATTAATAAAATAACCCCCCACCCCAGTGACGAGCCATTTAATGGGCTCCATCCAACTCTGCGTTTCCCCAGGCCCGCTGGCAGAACCAGGTCTTCAGCACCTTCCGAAAGAGTGTTAGAGTGGGGGCCATTCTAATCTCGGGGGGGGGGGAATGATGTTCCATACAGAGAGGGAGCCACCATGGAGAAGGCCCTTCTGGGTCCTACTGGGTGCATCTCCCTAGGGGATGGGACCCGCAACATTCCTTGCCTCCCCACTCTGATGGGTCAGGTAGATGTGACCGGCAAAACGTGATCCCTCAGATAACCTGATTCCAAGCCATGAGCTTTAAAGATGAGAACCAGCACCTTGAAATCTAATCAAGTTATTATTTGGCCATGCCTTAACAGTTTCAAACAATTATTTTCTTTAATGCTTGTGGGGGGGGGGGGAGTTAAATTTCATTTTGATTCATGCTAGCTAGGATCTACGATAATCTAGGATCTGATTATCAACAGCACAAACTGATAATTTGTACTATTTAAAAACCCCATGTGTTAAATTAAAGCCAATTTTACATGTCAAAAGTATTCTTAAAATGGATTATATAGGATGAATGTAGAAGATAGCCATTAAATCAAATGGAATATGCCTTCCAGATGGAATGTTTCATATTTCACAACTCCTTTAAGCAAATGAGGCCCCATTTCTCCTTCAAAAGAAACATCTGTAAACTTATATTTGTGAATTTTAAACTCCCATAACTGTAAATCCTGACACACATACCTATTGGCTAAAGTATATAACATGCTAAACCTAAGTTAACAAACACTAGAGCCTGTATCCTTTAGTGGTTAAAGCACCAGGCTGGAAACCAAGGAAGTGTGAATTCTACTTCCACTTTAGGCATGAAAGGCGGCTGGATCAGTCATACTCTCTCAGGCCAATCCACCTCACAGGATTGTGGTTGTGTGGAAAATGAGAGGAGGAAAATGAATTAGGTATGTTTCTTGCCATGAATTATTCATAAAAAATAATAGTGGAATTAAAAAAAATCTTTAAAAAACATTATTGTGTCATTTTGAAGCATAGAGTCTTAGGACAAAGTCCCTAAGGTTGATCTCTGACATATCAAGCAGAGGCAAAAGAAAAAGAAGTTGAAGGTGTAGAAAATATTTTTGGGAAGAATAAGACCCAAGGACACAGAGCAACTAGCAAAGGAAGCCCTTCTGAAATCCTTCCCTGGCAACTGTACTTCTCTCTAACCCTTCCAGACCATGCCTAGTACTCAAAGTGCCTAGTACTTATCTGGAAAGTGAATAGAGGAAAAATAACGATTTCCTTTAACTACTGGTCCGGACTTGTGTAGTGGGGGGCTGCCAATTAGGGACTAGCAGTAAACAAGCGGTGTGCTTCCGAAGTAGGTCGTTGAAGTCGCTTCTACTGCAGCTCCACTTTCCCGTTTTTGTTCCTTCAGTCCAGCGTGTTTTCCAAACGTTGCCAATTATTTTCCGTCGGAATGCCGGAGCCAATTGGTGACTGGTCCCCTCCTAATACCAAAGGGTTTGGGCTTTTGAAGAAACCCGGGCTTCCCTTCCCAGCGTGTACAAGAGAAATTGAAAGCTTGCTCATGCTAGGGGAGGGGAAGGGAGGGGAGGGGAACGCGGCGCTTCCCGAGGCGCGCTGCTGCTTGCCTGCCTGCCTGCCCAGGACTTCCCTGTTGTACATGAGACACCCACCCACGCAAAGATGGCTGCGAAAGGCTCGCATTTTCACCTGAAAATGGAAGAGGCGATCGAGAGGTGCAGGACGGATTGCCAGTGGGAGATGCAGCTCGCCATGGTGGCGCAGATGAGGGCGCGGACATCCAGCCCTCGGCACAAGGGGTCAAAAGGAGCCGCGCCTCAAAAATCTGGTAAGGCAGTCAAGCCGGCCGCTTGAACTGTTGGGATTCCCCAATGACCGGCTGCTCTTCCGTAAAAAAATGGAAGCGGCCGCCCGCCCGTCCTTGTAAGGGTCTGCCGCTCGCCCCTTCCTGCCCTGCCCTGTTGCCGGCTCGCCCGTCCCCAATTCCCTTAAGCCAAGGTCTCCTTGCTCAGCTGAAAGGGCTGGGTTCGCACAATGCCACGAACCATAAACTCTTCACACGAGCTGGCTCGGCGCGCCTTCCGACAGATTCACACGCGGCCAACAACTGGTTGGGCTGCTTGATCCGGCGGGTCCGTCGAACCCAGCCGCTCTTTTCGTAAACCCCTGGGGCTGGGGTTCCCTCAGCCTCATCCGTAACAGGCGGGCTCCGGTGGAGCGACGAATCTGCGCGCCCGTGCGCGCGCGTGTGTGTTGGTTTGTCTCTTAGCGTCCCGTCGCCTTTTGGGGGTGGGGGGTGGGGGGAGGGGTAGATAGAATTATGTAGATTCAGTTTATTTGACGAGAGGGAGGAGAAGCTGATTGGCATGTTAGTCCCTCACCCCAGCCTCTCTCTACCGGGCAACTTTTGAAATCATGCCTGTGGCTTAGCGATGGCTTGTTTGTAGAAACTCTGAATAGTATGGACCAAGGCTTGGCAATGCACCTTCCACCGCACCCAGTACCGGTTTTACTCTAATTTGCCTCCCTCGGCTGCCTCTTCCTCTTTCTCGGCTTTGCCCAGTGCTCTTGAAGGAGGCTGCTCTACCACACTCAAATGCTCCTTATTGAGAATCAGGTGACCTTGTCTTCAAGGGAAATATAATCAGTGTGCTCCCCAGAGATGTTTAGTTTAACCCAGTGAATTTTACTCTCCTTGGGAATAAATCTCATTGAATTCACAAGCGCTTTCTTCCGAATTAATATGTAGAAGATGACTGTGCGTAGTTTTAGGACGGAAGTAGCAGTCTTATTCTGACACACCGAAAGATACACCAAGGAGCCCACTGGTGGAGCAGTAATGCTCCCTCCTCCTTTCTCCTGACCCGCTGCCCGCAGAGGTCACCTTATTGAGCAGCTGGCCCGATTCTGTGAGGCCTGACCATCCGCTCTCCTTTGGAAGGATAAAGCAGCCTCTCAGAATGAGCATCAGGAAAAGGCAAAAAGAAAGACCTCTGAGAACAGGCTGCTCTTTATGTCTGTGCCAGCCATCATGACTGGCTTTGGAAGCACTGAATCCCTTAGAGTTGGGTGGCTGTGAAAAATGTGAATAAATAAATCAAATAATTAAGGCAACTAAGACCTCTTTGGCTACAATAAGTGTGGAAGGGGCAAAATGCAAGAAGGGTTTCTCTACTTCTAAAAAAGGTTGCCCCGTTACTCGATGAGACCAGGATTAAAGATGCCCAAATGATCAAGGCTGACTGGCATGCCTTGCCATCTCTTAGGGGCCTATCCTGTAGATTAGGAGAAGCCTCTTCACATCTGATGGTATATATATTGTTCAATTACAACTAAGGCTGGCTGAAGATCATGCGACTTGTGGCTCACTTTTTCAAACGTGTGTTGGCTTGGAGAACTTCAGCAGCATTTTGGGGGGGAAATGGAGCAAGATGTTGATAGAGGCTAAGTAAAATATAGTTTCAATTTAATTAGAAGCCTTTCAGTAGAACATAAAACTGTCTGTGAAACATAGAAGGAAGACTGTACTCACCAGCAGTTTAGATTTCCCTCCCCCCCTTGAAACCTTTGCCTCAAACCACAGCCATTTTGTGTCTTGTAGAGGGGCTGTGTCACTAATTTCAAGTTAACTTGTGGACTCCACCCAAAGGCATAAATGCATGCTTGTTGCACTATCAGCATGTATGTTTTCCTCAAACAGTTTTGCATATGCAATTGTTCCAGGGAAAAGAAAGTGTGACAGTAGTGGGTAGGGGTGATGAGAGACAAAATAACTAGAAAGAAAAGAAAAGCAACATCAAATAGTTTTTTTTTAAATATGAGAAAGCTTTGTTGTTTCTTTGGGAATATATTCTACTTTAGAGAGTCAAAATAATACAGTAAAACACTTCTGTGATATTTAATGGAGTTTAAGCGCATATAATCACATGGTTAAAGCTTTGTTGTCCTTTTCAGTAATAGATCAAATTTTCTGCATGCTTACATTATATTCAACTCAGTTGCTCTTATAAAATCTGAGGCAAAGCAGCACTCCAGATAAGAGCCTAAGAGTAAAATTTTCCCTATTTTTGTTGAGAAATAATTTGCACTTTTTTTCAGTGCGATTCTGCTCAGATAACTGGTTGCAACAAGACATACTCAACATTGAATTGCTGTACAATGTTAACCATATAGTTTTTTTAAAAACATGTGTTTAAAAAGAAGAGCATCAATTATACAGTGCCAGTCATCCTCTTGATCTTTTGATATTCCCCCTGCACACCCCTGGTCGTTGCTGTTTTTGAACTTAAATCATATGTATGATTAGCTGCTATTTATGGCTTGAATGTTTTGTTCACATTTTATCTTTTAGTTTTATCATCTGCCATTACAGTATATCATTATTTTATCTGTCAGAAGACCCCATGGGCAAACAGGATATGACAAACATATGAAATTAAAGTCCACAGGAATTAATAGTTGCAGTCTATTGAGATAAATTAATAGTTTAATCTTGATTTGACTGGCACATGGCAATTATGCGTCTCAAAATTTATTTGCTTAATACTTTCTGGAATAGATTGTTAGTTTGGAAGATGAGAGTTTGGGGGAGGAGACGGATAGAAAGTCACATTGTTTCCATGGATTTTTGATCCAATCCCTGATTAAGTTAGAGTACAGTTTTATGTACCATATATATTGACAAGTAAATCCCCTTGTGTTCAGTTATTATTTACTGTGTAAGTATACAGAGGCCTGCAGCAAAATTTGGAATTATTTATAACATGTCATTGATTAGATTTCTAGAACACAGTAACAAGACATTTATATAAATAATTATGATTTTATTTCCCATAAAGTTTTCATGACTGAATCAAATTCTTTAAATAAGCCAGCAGAACAAATTGGTGTTTATTTCTCTAAAGAGTTTGTATTTACAAATCGGAAGTAGAATACATGACACAGGACATTCATTAATATATCTAAATAAGAAAGTTTCTAAGAAATGTCTATATATGTATAGATAACACGTAAGTTAGATTCCTATTACATAAACAATTTTTGCACTCTGGGCAAACTTCCTTATGCAAGGAAATGTTTATATAATGGTTAAAATTCTATGTTTAGATTTCTGTCCTACTATATATGGGAACATAGCACAGTGTGTAATTTTTTATTCCATTGACTATGTCTTGCAGAAGACTATGAGAATCTACTAGCTGCGGAGGCACTGCTGGAGCTGTGCTTAAAAGAGAACCTTGCCAAAATCAAAGAAACCATGCCATTAATGGAAAAAACTGAGCCCAAACTGAGTGATGCCAAAAAGTTTTTGACTGACATTCTAAATCGAGGGAAATTACTGGTAGGTATTCTAAACAGAAATAAAAAAGAACATTACAAACACTGCTAATGTTGTACAATCAAATGGTCTAGATAACAAAATGTTGGAACCTTTAATCTCACCTGCCCTCTCCATACTATTCCTGATGCATTTATAAAAATCTGAAATAATTGCTTTCTTTCTGCAGCAGTTTTTATTCAAAACAATGTTGGGATTTGTTACGATTTACTAAATTAAACTTCCAGCACTGTATAAATTAATAGGCAATCCTGTTCTCCAAGAACCAGCCCTTCTAGAATGGCATCATCCACATGAAGAAATGAAGGCATTAGCAGATTTTGAGGGTCTGCAAAAGTATAGACAAAATTTATGGACACCGTTGTCAAGGGTGGCCATTGAGGACCAAACATAAACAAAGGCCATGAAAAATTGCTGACTTGGTGGAAGAGAAATAATGGGGGATGGGGTGGTGGGGAATAGAATACAGTGTCCTGGTGAAAGGCATGAGTGACATGAGTCCTAGGTTCCCAATTAAAGCTACTAAGACTCCTGAACATAGCTTTGAGAGGGTGCTCTGGAATGTGTGATAATGTGAGCACAGGACCTCTTGTATCTTTTCTCAGGATTCTGTGTGAGCCTAGAAAAAAGATGTAGCTATTTTAGTAAATCAAAGCAATTGACTCATTAAAACAACTACATCCTTTTTCTGGCTCTAACAGTGACACCAATGTTTTATTGCAGATCCACTTATGTGTCTATAGATCTCTTTTAGCAGTTCTTAATGATACACAAGGCTTTCTTTTAAAAAAAAAAAACAATGAGACACCATGATGACTGAAGCAATCTAACTGTATGCTTTATTGTTACGAAAGCTACCAAGAGACCCTTTCTTTGGCCTGCTACTTCAACATTTCCACATGGGTTAGTTATTTGGAAGTCATAGATTTAATTCAGCATGGTGGGATTTTGTATCTGTGGCACAGTCCTGACTGTATTAAAATCTGCATTAATTCATTAATGTGAGTCTTCGTAGCAAATTGGGAAAGTTACTAATTTGTACCAGTATTATATACAAAAATGAGGAAAGCTTGATAAAATATTTCACATTTCTCATGCAGATAATCCTTGACTTACGACCATAAATGAGCCCAAAATTTCTTTTGCTAAGTGAGACAGTTGTTAAGTGACTTTTACTCCATTTTACGAAGTTTCTTGCCACAGTTGTTTAATGAATCACTGCAGTTGTTAAGTTAGTAATGCAGTTAAGTGAATCTGGCTTCCCCATTTACTTTGCTTGTCAGAAGTTTGCAAAAGGTGATCATATGACCTTGGGATACTACAACCATCATAAATGTGAGTCAGTTGCCATGTACCTGCATTTTGATCACGTGACTGGGCATGTTGCAACAGTCGTAAGTGTGAAAAGTCACTTTTTTCAGTGTGTTGTAACTTTGAACAGTCACTAAATGAACTGTTGTAAGTTGAGGATACCAGTATGGAAATAAGTTAGTAATTCATTTGATCCAGCATAACTATGAAAATAAAATCTGCCAACTTTTCCATTTTATTTCCACCTGGAATTAATTTATACTTAAATTAAATGACTAGCAAAATAGTTATTATTGCTAGGTTACCCATGCACTGACTTTCATGCTCTGAGGCAAACTTCCAAATCTCTTACATACATACATACATACATATATATATATATAAATACATATATATATACACACACACATATATATATAAAATTTTCAGTAATTTTGAAACTGCAGTCAAAGTACACTAGTAAACTTCCACTTCATATAGGATAAGTGTTCTTGGAAGTTTATGGAAGAAAATCAGATGGCTCCATTCATTGATATATAACAGCAAAGCATGTGGGTCCTTTGTTGTAACAACAGAATGTTCCTGTTCTTAAGAGCTGCCTTATTAATTTCAGTAGACAATGAAGGTCCAACCTCCATATTTTTTTCAAATTAACTAAGGGATGTGCACTCATTATATTTCACCCTATACCTCAAAACTCACAAAGGTTTTGTTAACAAAATGCTTGATTCCATGTGATGTTGAACAAGGAAATATTTCCAAAACAAATATTGTTTAACTATAGCTTTATTATATTACTAATGAACATTTTAATTTTCTAGCCAAAAGATATGACAGAAGCAATGTTGCTTCTTGCAAAGCTTCATTATATTGAAGGATGTTACCGAGAGACTTTAAGCATGTATGCAAGAGCCGGTCTCGAAGACCTTGTAATAGAGAAGAAACCTTTATACAAGCTGCGTCTGCTAACCGAAGCTTTTGTTATTAAAGGTAATTGGAATTGTCTATGGCCACTGATTTCTGATTTCACTGTGATGATGCTATAGAAAATCAACTCATATAAACCTTATTTATTTTATCCTTCAAACATTTTATTTTATTTAATTGAAGTTGCAAATTTAGAAAAGCTGATAAGCTATGGAATATCATAAACAAGATTCTAATTCATACATAAGACCTATGCCTGGCTAAAATATTGATTTTTTAATTAATCCCATAGATATCAATTGTTTTTATTTGTAAAACAAGCAAACAACATTCTGCATATTTCTTCAGTTTCTTTGATCTTCAGTAATAGGTTGAAATTAACTCAACAAGGAAAATCAGTAGCACTAGAATATTTTGCTTTTTTAAAAAAGTAGAAAAATAGTCAGGAGAGCATGCCAGCATTAAAATACAGTACTGCAGATTTGTTTCTTAAAATGTCATCGTTTTTCTGCTCTGAACATGGAATATCATACTGGCTAAGGAATTCTGTCAGTTGAAGTCCATGTACCTTAAATTTGTCAAGCGGGAGAAATGATGCTCTACCCAACTCTTTGGTCTTTGGAAGAGTGAATGACTATTAAACAAGGTTGTATTAATTGCAGATGAGCTATGAAAAAGACAGAAAAAATGAGTAAAGGTGGACGAGGAAGGACAATATTTGAAAAAAAATCAGCTCAGTTATATATAACAGATTCAGGTGAATGTAACAGATTTAGGTGAAGGATCTGAAAAAGTCAAAGAGCATTGTCTTTGATGACATGAACCAGGAATAAATATCTTAAACAAGATGTCTGCTTCCACCCAAACTTAAGTAACACTGTGCTTGTAAGGAAGCAGTGGTTCTTAAACTAGGGATGCCCAAGGGGATAATTTGGGCACAACCTGGGGATACTGAAGTGATTTCTTGTTTCAGGTCGTGGATCCAGTTTGAGACTGATGTGCAAAACAACGAAGTCTGGTTTCTTTTGTGGGGATAATGACAATTTTTAAGACAGGGAAAAAAGGGTTACTGGGTCAGTTTTAAGACCCACTCTATTGGCAGATCTATTGGCTCTTTTCTACAGCTTTTTAGTGCTTATCAAACTGACAATATTGGGTTCTTCTTTCCTTTGTAGTATACTTATTTTTCTCCTTGCTGCATTTTCAACCATTGTACAATAATAATAATCTCTTCTGTATGTGTCTTTTTATTCTATGTTTGGAAGAGAGGGAAGTTATCAAAGGGTTTATGATTCAGCTGTTTTTCTGGGAAACCTGGAAAAATGTCTCTGCTTGCATTCTTCATCTTCTGTTTCCTTTCAGTGCTGTTTATGACTGCTGCTGAAGTAGTTGCTCTCTGCCTATCCTCTTCTAACCTTTTCAGCATACCAATCCACTTATTAGGTGAATAGAGGGCTGGAATGATCAGATACCTTCAACTGGTATGTAAAAATCAAAGTTAAAACACCATATTAGTATTGCAATGAACCTTTTGAACATCAGGCATCACGCTGACCTGTACTTCCTGTTCCCCCAAGGGGCCACAGCTTAGAATGTCTCTGCTATTCTATTGGCTTTGGGGAATGCGTTATTGATACTTATTTGTGAATGGTTATAGCTATTGGATTAGAAAGGCTTAAATATTTAGAAATGATATTCTCCAGTTAATAACAAGAAACCATTAAAACTTTCATATACCTTACTTACAGAGTGTATATTTTATTATGATTTTATTTGCTACCATGAAAAGTTCCTAATTCACAAGAATTTTTTTTGCTAGCCTACCAGCCCACTTTTTGCTTTTGTGGATATCAGGTAGCCTGTGAAGGATCCTAGTTCACTTAATTATTTAATTTAAATAGGCCTTTCCTGCTTATAAAAAGCATTTTGTTATATTTAGCTTAAAATCATAACATGCTGTCTAATCATTTAAAACGTCATTGATCAGGTTCAGTTAACACATTATCTGTGATTTTGAAAAAGAATTATCATTGCTTAGGTGTATTTGGGTATGTATTGACTGCTATGCCTCCTCTATGGTTCCCTACTAAAATTCCCAGAAATTACTGATGTAACATGCATCTGACCTATATGATCCTAAAAAAAGTATCTGTTGGTAAAATATGAGCAAACCACTTTCATGTGAGAATGAAGAGACTATCAGCCAATGGGTGAGCAACTCATTTAAGTGACTCTAATATTTACTTGTTCTGTGCAAATCCACTAAATATTTGCCAGTGTGTATATACCAATTTTGACATTTTTCCTGAAAGCTTTGTTGATTTTGATATATACCACAAAAACAGATAGAGGTTAAATCATAAGTGCTTGGTTTTGGTCTGAGAGTGTTGCATGAATCCAACCATAATGGTTTAGTCAGCTGTGTTTTATGAGCTCATGGCTTTGAACCCAATCAATTGCACCAAAGTACTTTTCAAAAGGCAACTGGATTTTTTCCCCCTTTGGAAACATTTCATTTCTTATCCAGGAAGCTTTTTCAATTCTGGCTGAAAGGTGGGGAATGGAAGGATTTATATTTCTTTTTTTAAAAAAAAAAAAATTATTCAAGAAAAAAATATTTTAAAAAGAGAATCTCGTTCTCACATTTTACAGTGTTTTCATAACAGTGTACATCTCTATTCGTGTTAATTGAAATCATTTACTACAAAGATATCTTAAATCTAATTCCTAAATTTCTTATTTATCTATGTTATTAATACATCATCATACATTGTTTTTCTATGTTACTACACTACTACACCTATATACATAGCTATACCACACACACACATATATATATAGCTATACATTTGTCCTTATTTCTGTTCCATAATATTTCTTTAATCATTTTCACTATACATCTTTATTTCTTTCTCATTTAACCATTTATACCATGTATTCCATGTTGTAAAAAATTCTCCCTCTTCCTTGTTTTTTTAATATCATAGTTAATCTAATCATTTCTGCGCATTGGTAAAGGTGGGGAATGGAAGGATTTATATTTCTAAGCAGGCATCTGGTTGTTAGTGCTCTGAAAGTTAGTCATTAACTCTCTGAGAGTTGTTGAGGCTGTTGAGACCACTTAGGGATTTATCTGTACTCTTAGGTCAGAGTGGTCCCCTGCCAGTCCAAAATGTAGACTTTGCTATTTTCCACAAAGAGTGACTTTTGTCTTTCAGATGCAAAGGTCACTCTTTTGAAGACACCAAAGAGCGATTGAAGCCCTAGCCTTGACTATGAATGTGCAAAGTCAAAACCCTGCTTTAATATTTGTTTGCCACTGCAGAAGGCATAGCTGGGGTGGTTATGATGTCACTGGACTGGAGGTGACTGAATGTTTCAATCTCTTTTTATATGGTTTTGAAGTAAAACAGATACCTTAAGATTTGTGAAGTGTGAACCACACATGTTGCCTCTTAGAACTCAAGTGGGAGGAAGTTGTGATTTTGGAGGAAAAGATTTTTTTTTCCTTTTTAATGAATGAAAGAAGTACTTAACCCTCTGCAAATCTTAGGGCATCTGTTATTCTTTGAAATCCCTTATCCAAAAATAACCAAAACAATAAAATAAAACAAAAATAATATAATCAAATCAAGGGAACTCTGGATGCTTGGGAGCCACATGTGGCCCTGGAGCTGCCCATCCCTGTCTTAAGACTTAAAACTGTCAACTAGGACTTGGTTTTTACTCAAAATAGCAGTTTTTAGACTGAGTTTGTTTGGCTGTCCTGATTAGACCCTGTAATACTTCTGAAGGAGTGCTATCTTTTGACCACAATAGCAAGTAAGCAGTGGAAAAATATACTTGATCTCTTGGGGGAGGCACAGGTGCTACAAGTTGTTATTAAAGATTTGGTTCCTTAAGCCAGCCTGTAGCACTTTATAGAATGGGAATGCAGGCTTTTGTCTAATTTCATGCAGTCTCTCCAAGCCAATCTCTTCTTACATGACACTAGAACATAGACCCTAGATCAATTTCTCTCAATAGAATACAATCCTTAAGAATACTAAGCATAATTCCACCAGGACCAAAAACATTTCCGCATAGCTGAGTAATATGCTTTTGTCCCATCCTTGAGTTGACAGAAAAATATATTGGTGTACATTGCACTGACCAAGTTTTATTGCGCGTCAGCAATGAGAAACTGACCTTATAAATTTAACGTGGGGCAATGTCAAGGGCAGTGATTGGTAGATATCTCAGGTTCCTTTCCCCTTAAACCTATTGTTACTTCTTGGTGGGAAAAGTAGGCACCGGTCTCTCCCCTGGGATGAGGAACTGCAGACATTCCTTACGCCTTCATCCTATATCCCTCCTAAACTCCAATGGTCAAACTATCACAGTTTTCTTCATAGGAGTATTGATTTCCTGAACAAAAACCCCTCTGTATGACATTTGGGAGAAATCCACTATGCAGATTAACTCAATTGCCTTCTTCTCATTAGCCTTGTAACCCCACTAATTGATCAGCCAGAATCCCCTGCAAGTTTATTAAATCATTATAAAAAGGTTGACACCATAGTCTGGTGATAAGAACAGCAATAGTTGTTGGGATGGTACTCATAGCACTTTGCTTAATATTTCATTCCAGATTATATGCTCAGTTCTGTTAGTGCTGTTGAGAATTTGGGATCTTTCAGTAAGCTGTTTCTCTGTACTTATACTCCTGAGTATTATTATTGGATAAATTTATGTGTGGATGGAAGAAACAAAAGTTATAATGAATCTGCATAATGAAAAGATTCCAAGTGATTTTGTAGTGCATGGTATATGGGCCAGAACATCGTACATGGGCCAGAATAAAACTTTTCATCTGTACTTTTTTCCATTGGAGTATAAAGTGCTGTATACTTCTTTGTATACGTCTTTACCTTTTCCCACTACAGCTGTGATGGCGAACCTATGGCACGCATGCTGGAAGTGGCACGCAGAGCCACCTCTCCAGGCATGTCAGCCGTCCTCGTTGCTCTTCCAGGTTCGGCGCACACATGCGCAAAGACCAGCTAGTGTTTACATGTGCAGGAGCACCAGAAACCAGAAGAGCAGCTTCCTGGCGCACATGTGTGTGCCGGCCAGCTGCACTTTGCACACACAGGAACGCTGGAAACCGGAAGAGCAGCTCCCAGCGTGCCTGTGTGTGCCAACCAGTTGCTCTTTGCACACATGTGTGTTAGAAACTGGAAGACCAGGTGGCCAGGGAGCAGCTCTTCCGCCCCCACGCTACCGTTTCGGCACTCAGTGCTGAAAAGGTTCACCACCACGGCACTATAGTATAAAGTGTTGGAGTTTGCTTAAAATGTGTTGAATTTCCAAAAGAAATGCTGACGAGAATTTATGGGTAACAGCTTGATCTGGACGGCAGCAGATTGTCCATTCTTTTGTTTGGTACAGCTTTTAATGGGCTGCTTTTGCCAGGATTTTCACCTCCAATATTGGGGGTAGGGAGATACAGGGAGAGACAAACAGAGAGAGAAATATTTTAATAGTTGAATTTATGACTGCATCAACAGGCAAAGTTCAGATCTTGTAAGATTAGCAGTAATAAATGGAAGGGCTTTTCCATTCTCCTCTGTACATTCAGTTCCCATTTCCAGGCTGACTCTGTAGGCATGTTGAAAAAAAAACCTGTGGCATGGAGTACAGTATAAGGTAGCTAAGCACAAAAAAATTAGGAAGAGAGAGAAGGAACTCAGAAAATTGCTATATCTGAATAAGACTGTTTAAACTCTGAAGCTCAGTTTTATCTATAAGTAGCTAATAACCCGGCATTGCCCAGGTATTTATTTATCCCAATCCTGTATTAGACAGGAAAATCCTGTAGTCTGGACTCACACTGTTGTACTGTCTGTGAAGTTCTAGATGCAGTAGCTCTATCGCTCTTATTCTGTAGTTGGGCCTCACACTGTTGTACTGTCTCTAAAGTTCTAGATGTAGTAGCTCCCTCGCGCAGTGTCGCAAGTCAGAAGGAGCCCCCTTGTGGAGTACTATGAAGCCATTACCATGGCAACTCCACTGTACTGTACTGTAGAAGCCATTTTAAGGCATTCCCACCCCCATGGGGTGTTAGGGGTGTCTTACCCCCACAGTATTTTTTCCAGAGGGTAAGTCATCTGTCTACCACATTTGGTTGAAATTGCTTGAGGCATTCCAGAGTTATGCTGGAACACACACACACACACACACACACACACACACACACACACATTTTTATATATATAGATAGATGAGTGGTTGTATTTGTACAGAGGATCAGAGAAGGATTTTTTTCAGGTTTACTTGGAGGTGTCAGGAATTCAACTTGGGATTTTCTGTCTGCAAAGATACCTTTATATGATTTCTATTTAAAGAGAGGAAAAGGAAAATAAAAACATGAAATGGAGAAATACAGAGTCCTAATTAGAAAGGCAGAAAAAGATGGTATTAGAATTGGCCTTATTTGTGGAACTGAGTCTGTTCCCGTTCTTAAGTATTTGAATCTATATTTATCTACAATACTTTATGGACAGTAACCAGACCCTACACATACTTACACAAGAAGCTGCTTTGAATTATTAGGATGAATGAATGCTATAATGAATATATTTACTATATTCAATGCAATATAATTCAACATGCAATTTAATGAATATATAATGCCATCAATATCTAGTGGGCTTTCAACTACACATCTGAAAGGGAAGAAGGGATGTCCAGGACCACATGCAAGCATAAAGCCAAAGGCATTAAATCTTGCAAGGAAGCAGGTGATAAGAAGGAAGGAGTGCTCAGAAATACTATACAATGGGAGGTGCAACAGGCAAACATAAGAAGGGCGATACTAAATGGCTTAGTGGCTTATTCACAGAATATGTAGAACAAACCAGAACTTGAAATCCTAATATGCATGGAGGGGGATGGTGGAATATGACATTATTGGTGTGACTGAAACCTAGGGAGATGGAATTCGTAATTGAAATACAATATTGGAAGGATATAATTTATTTTTTAAAACAGCAACAACCCTAAAACTCATTTGTCTGGGATAGCCTGAGGATTCTTATCCTCAAGAAAGGGTTGGATTAAAAGACCTCCAAAGTCTTTATAACTAAATGATTCTTTCTGTGTGTGTTTATGTATATGTGTAGCATTCTGGAAACAAAGGGACTGTAAAGAGCTTTTTAAAATATTTGTTTCTGCAAAACTAGGAGAAATAGAGAGTTTTACGGTATACATGCTTAGCTTCTTGCTGCAATTCTATTAGTAAACTGAAAACCTTGCTCACCATCCCCTTTCGATTTCAAAAATATCCTTGCATATCCCTATCACTGGCTCAAGGTTGACTCAGCCTTCCATCCTTCCGAGGTTGGTAAAATGAGGACCCAGATTGTTGGGGGCAATAGGCTGATTCTGTAAACCGCTTAGAGAGGGCTGTAAAACACTATGAAGCAACATATGTGTGTTATTGCTATTTCTCATATAGATGCAAATGTCTATTTAGCTACATGGTAGCTAGAAGCTCCCACCATTTTTTTGTTTTAATATATATCTGAAGCTGAAGTAATCTATGCTCTGGGAATGTCAAGACCAATCCCAAAGTTCGCAAAACAAAATCCATTGAGTCCAGTACTTTATTTGCTTACATCTAATGGACGGAACCTTGCCAAACTACAGCTACAACCTTGGAACCTCTACAGGAAATACAACCTAAGAGATTCTGGGGTGTGGCTGTCCTGAATCTCTTTCCCCTCCCTCCTCCAGTGTGGGATTGCAGAGTCTCTTAATTTCGGCTTCTCTCCAATGGTATGTGCTGTACACCACCCAGACTCAGTCCCGGTATTTCGTGGTCACGCGACCTAGATTTATGATGGTTTTTTGTAAGTTTCTGGCCTTTTCAACTGGTTTCTGGTTTAAAAAAATGCCCATAGGAATACATTGATTTACTTAACAACAACCATATTCACTCAATGGCTACACATTTGCTTAACAACAGCTCCAAAAACATCATAAAATCAGGTCAGGTCACATGATTACCTAGACTTACACCATCATGGAAATTCTGGACTCTGTTACAGCATAAGTCAAGGGCTACCTGTATTTATTTGTGTATCATATATAGACAACTGCATAACTTGATGAAAACTCTAGGAGGTGTACAACATTAAAAAACAACAACAAAGAACCACAGTAAAAACAGAAAGAATTGTGTACCTTTGGCGGGGGGGGAGAAACCATTCAAACTAATAGGTACCACCAGAACAGAAGGATTGCCACTTATCCTAACTCAAGATCTGGAGGGATTTTTTTTTTCTTTCAATTTTTTCCCCAGCGTGGTCAGGGCAGAGGCCATACAGGCCTTTGAGGAGATAACTATTTCTGAGGCACTATGACAGATCAGGATAACAGATTTAAATTCATTCAACTAAACAACCTCCAGCTATGTTAGGCTTCTCTAGGTAGAAAAGACTATGGGGATGGTTTCACAAAGTAAGAACTAATTGATGGTTGGTGCATTTCAGCATGGCATTGAAGAGACACTGTTGCTGTCTTCACAGGCCTGGCACTGGAACGCTCACCCAATTCCATTGCTTCCCAAGTCCGGCTGTCTGAAAGAGAAGAGGAAGTCATGACTTGCTTTGAAAGGGCATGTGTAATCGCTCAGATTTTCCTGCAAGAACTGGAGAAGGTAAATAAGAGTCAGCTCCCGCCCGTTAGCATTTCCCAAGGATTTATATATCACTGTTTAACTTGTTCTCCATTAAACAAAAGCCAGGAAATGTGCTAAATTATATACCCTGAGACCCTGCCTGATGTTTAGTTTTATTCCACTCTCCCTCCAACGTACTCAAGATGCTGCTTTCTTTTGCTCATGTAATACTACTCTGAGGTGGTTAAATCCAAATAGCCCGAGACTTCATGCACCTGTCTGTGGGAATTTGAATCAGATCCCTGTATATAATTTTGTATTTTAGCACCCCATTTTGCCAGCTTTTTTAATATTGAATTTCAGAACACAGGTTTGAAAATCATTAAGGTGCAACAGCTTAAAATGTAAGATTCTGAGGGAAAATGCCAGATTTTGAACAATGCATGTTATATCAGATGTACTTTATGCAAAACCATATTATGTGCCTTTACTGTACAGTACTTATCGAAAATGAAGATTTATTTTTTTCCTACAATCAATTTACCTTTACAATGGGAAGGTCATCTTAGCTCAATTACAAATCTGATAATGGGTACATACCAAGTTCCCCTTTTGTTTTGTATGTTGGGGCCAGCAACTATCTTAAATTCAAGGTTATTTTACATTTGGGTAAAGAAAAGTCTTCAAGTCATGCTCAATTCCTGGTCTATCCATGATATCTTCTTGGCAACAATATAGAAGTGGGATTGCCATAATCTTCTAGGATGATTCAACTCTTTCATTTAGCAGCATCTCATTGAGTTTGATCCTTTTAGCTTTTTTGTGATCAACCAAGTTGATGTGCATCCACAAAAGGGACATTGATATGGGGAGCTGTTGACTAAGTGTGCATCTTTACGTTCTCATGTAAATACAGTAGCTTCATGTAGAAGATGGGAAGATTTAATTGTAACTGACACAGTTTGACACCTTCACAGATTGCAAATTGCTGCAGATGTTATTGGGCTGCCTAGCTGGTAAAAATGGTAATCTGATTACAGACTGTTGAATAATCTATCAGGTCTGTTCAGTTGTTTGGATTTGAAGGTGCTTTGGACTATGCATGGGGCTAATGCAATATCCACTGTCAGTGCCTTAAATCAAATGTCTATAGAGGTTCTCAGTCATTCAGGTCACGGTTGTCCCAAAGGTGCTTTTTCAGGAGGCAAATGGACTTTCTTGTTTTTTTCTTTGAAGACGTTTCACTTCTCATCTAAGAAACTTCTTCAGCTCTGACAGAATAGAATAGAATACTTTATTGGCCAAGTGTGATTGGACGCACAAGGAATTTGTCTTGGTGTAAATACTCTCAGTATACATAAAAGATACATTCATCAGGAGTCGAGAATCATCAGGTACGACACTTAATGATAGTCATAGGGTACAATAAGCAATCAATCATACTAGGAAACAGTCAATATAAATCGTAAATATACAAGCGACAAAGTTACAGTCATACAATCACAAGTGGGAGGGGATGGGTGATAAGGAATGATGACAAGATTTAACAATGGAATGGAATGGAAGGATTTTTATTCCTTGCAGAGAGCTGGTCATTTGCATTCTTTAAATAGTCATTGAGGCCAATTGGAGGTTTGTTTGTGTTCTCAGGGTCACCTGAGTAGTGCTAATGGTTGCAGACCATAGGAAGCATTTACACTACACAGGTGACCCTGAGGATACAGATAAACCTCCAAGTGCTTCAAAGACCCTCTAAAACAGGAGTGTCAAACTGGTGGCCTACGGGCCGGATGCATCACGCGCAGGCCACACCCACCCCAGCTCCGCAAAGGGAAAAAACGTCACGATACATCACATGATGGCAATGTGACGCTGCGAGTTTGACACCTGTGCTCCAAGAGGAAGCAGATGACCAGCTGTCTGCAAGGAATATAAATCCTTCCATTCCCCACCATCCAGTCAGAGCTGAAGAAGCTTCTTGGATGAGAAGCCAAACATCTTCAAAGAAAAAAATAAAGTCCAATTGCCTCCTGAAAAACAACCTTTTGGACTTAAACCAATTCCATCTTTTCCTGAGTTCATATTACAGCTATGCTTGGAAAAAAAGCAGCAACTTTTAGGAGTTTCCAAGAGGTGCTGTACAAATAAGTGTCTCCATGTACTCCAAACCACTTTTTTCCCTTCAAAACATTTTTCCCTTCAAGTCACTGTGCAGCCCTAATTTTGGGCTCATAAAAGGACAGGCATCGATTTGTAATCCATCCAGTTTATGGGACCCAGGAATTGGAGGCTTGACCACTTTTCTGTGTTTTTTTTTTCTTGGTTTCAATTAAACAATAGAACGAGGGAGCTATTGATCCTATAGTAGGCTACCATTTATGGTTTTAGCTATTTTTTTAATTATAATTTGTGACTCTTAAATTATGTATATCTGCTTAGTATATTTCCAGAAATACAGAGGGAAATATAAGGCCATCCTTGTGAAGCCAGCACACAAAAAAAGCCAAACTATAAAGAAATAACAAGTGTAATTCAAAGCAAATTTCCTTTATATTAGTCATTTTCTCTGACCTTTTGGAAGAAGAATAGAATAAGCATTAAGCAACATTATTATTTGTGTTTATATGTCATCTCTCTCTGTCTCTCCCTTTTATTACCAGAGCTTTAATAATACACATACAAGAAGCATAAAAGGCAGTCATATGTCTTCCTTGGATTTTGAACTTCCTTACTTTCTGGAAGCAGCTCTGCAGAGTGCATATGTGGCTCATTTAAAGAGAGGGTATGTACATAATGAACATTATTCCACATAAAAAATATATCGTGGATATCGTTCTGTTCAAAGCTACCAGTAGGTAATACAGGTAGCCCTCGACTTACTAACACAAATGAGTCCAAAATTTCTGTGGTTAAGTGTGAAAATATGTTAAGTGAATTTTGTCCCATTTTATGACCTTTCTTGCCACAGTTGTTCAGTGAATCAGTGCAGTTGATAAGTTAGTAACCCAGTTGTTAACCTAGCTTCCACATTGACTTCGCTTATTAGAAGGTCACAAAAGTTGATTGATCACCTGACCTCAGGCCACTGCATAAATATGAGTCAGTTGCCAAGCATATGGATTTTGATCACATGATCATGGGGATGCTGCAAAGTTTGTAAGTGTGAGAAATGGTCATAAGTCCCTTTTATCAATGCCGTTTAACTTTGAATGATCCCTAAATTAACTGTTGTAAGTTAAGGACCACCTGTAGAAGCGACAACTGCTGGAAATTGTATGATGCTGTACATTCATATGAAATACGGAATAGAATAGAATGAATAGAATTCTTTATTGGCCAAGGCTTGGACTCTCACCTCGTGGTCACAGGTGAGATGGAACAGGGTACAATAAGCAATCAAATCATACCAGGAAACAATCAATATAAATCATAAGGATACAAGCGACAAAGTTACAGTCATACAGTCACAAGTGGGAGGGGATGGGTGATAAGGAGTGATGAGAAGATTAATAGTAATAGTAGTGCAGACTTTGTTAATAGTTGGACAGTGTTGAGGGAATTATTTGTTTAGCAAAGTGATGGCATTCGGGAAAAATCTGTCCTTGTGTCTAGTTGTTCTGGTGTGCAGTGCTCTATAGCGTCGTTTTGAGGGAAGGAGTTGAAACAGTTTATGTCCAGGATGTGAGGGGTCTGTAAATATTTTCACAGCCCTCTTTTTGACTCGTGTAGTATACAGGCCCTCGATTGAAGGCAGGTTAATAGTAATTGTTTTTTCTGCAGTCCTAATTATCCTCTGAAGTCTGTATCTGTCCTGTTGGGTTGCAGAACCAAACCAGACAGTTATAGAGGTGCAGATGATAGACTCACTGATTCCTCTGTAGAACTGTATAAGCAACTCCTTGGGCAGTTTGAGCTTTCTGAGTTGGCGCAGAAAGAACATTCTTTGTTGTGCTTTCTTGACGATATTTTTGATGTTAGGTGTCCATTTTAGGTCTTGTGATATGATAGAACCTAGAAATGTGAAGGTCTCTACTGTTGATACTGTGTTGTCTAGTATTGCAAGAGGTGGTAGTATGGGAGGGTTTCTCCTAAAGTCTACCACCATTTCTATGGAGATGTTGAAGTAAGGTCCTTCACTTGTCCAATTTATGATTGAGTAGCAGGAATGGATTTACTAGACTTGCCGAGATACAGGTAATTACAAAAGTTCATTTAGTGACCATTCAAAATCACAACAGCACTGAAAAAAGTGACTTATGACTATTTTTCACACTTACAACCTTTGCAGCATCTCCATGATCATGTGATCAAAATTCAGAGGCTTGGGAACTTGTTTATATTTATGACCATTGCTCTTATGTGATCACCTTCTGCGGCCTTCTGACAAGTGAAGTCAATGGGAAAGCCAGATTCACTTAATAACCCGCTTACTAACTAATCAACTGCAGTGATTCATTTAACTGTGGCAAGAAAGGTCGCAAAATGGGACAAAACTCACTGAACAAATGTCTCACTTAATCACAGAAATGTTGGGCTCAATTGTTGTCGTAAGTCGAGGACTACCTGTGTTTGTTTTCAGCATTAATGAAAAAGGCACCTTGGAGGCAAACAGGTTGTACACACATAAAGCACCTTCATCTAATTGCTAATTTTGGTTGAGTGGGTTTGTTTGAATACCCCTAAAGTCCCCCCTGTGTTCAACTGGCAGAAAGATGTACCACCCATGTGAATGCAATACAAATCTTTATTTAACCACCAATAAGGAAATATTAACTGTTAGCCGAGTTATCGTTCTAGGAGTCTAAATTACAAGAAAATTTAATTGTAATTCTCTCCCCACTGTTTTTATAGAGAGGATCAGTGTAGGAAGAAAAAAGTACATTGGATTGGATCTCTTTTTTTTCTCTGCCACAAGAGGGTGCAGACAGATCTCTTCACAAGCCAAGTAAACAAAATGTGGAAAGTGAAGTGGGTCACTTGATGTTCTTGTTAGATGAGTGATTTCTAAATGCAGTGTGATTAGAGAAATGGTTTTGTTTCTTAAGTTAAGAGTGGAAGTATGTAGAGTTCTCCTAAGTACAACAAATCCTTACAGGCTGCAATGTGATTTCAGGGAATAACATTTGTGGTATGTGAATTATGTGCCTGTGTGCATCTGTTTTCTTTCAGATAGGCACTTCAAATTTGTTGACATCTCAAGTGCACATTTCTTGGTGTAAAATAAAATAATAACTGGTTTTCAGATTGAAGCAGGAGGAACTTCCATAGAAAGCTCATGGATTCTAGAAGTTTGCTATGAAGTTTACAAGAAAAGTGGGCTTACTGTCAACAAAACTAATTTGCAACATTTCCTAAATTCAGGGAAAGAGATGTACACATTCTCTGAACCAGGAATGGATAGCTAATCTGAAGATAGTAGTTGAAAATTGTGGCACAATTTTTTCATTATTCTGCAGTAGTAAATAGAGATACATGTTAGGCTAAGAATTAAACTACATTTAATATAAATTTTAAAATGTCTCCAGATTAAGCTGGTTCCCGTAGTATATTCTACCATCGTTCAAGAGCTGAACATGAAGTAACATGCCTTGTCTGCCATATTTTATCCTCAGCATTATCCTATTAGGGTGACATATGATTCCATAGTACTAGGCCTCTGTCTGACCACTCTTCTAGCTAGGCACAATGGGAGAAGACACTGCCTTCTGACAAACCTTAAGTATGAAGTGTACGTTCTTCTTATCAGTCGCCATCTGGGAAAGTATTCTTTGAAGATTTGCTGACTTGCCTTATTACTATAACCCAACCTGAGCATGTGTACATACGTATGTATGTATGCATATATTCATGAATGTACATATATTTAATGCAAGAGAGATTCTTCTTATGTTCATAATTCATGGACAATTCAGCCTTGCTTTTCACACTTGATTTTTTTTTCCTTTAGCAATATTATTCAAGGAATAAGAAATCTAAGAGAATTGTTAAGAACCATGGAAACAAAGGCTACTCTGAGCTTCAGAATGGTAAATTCAATCCCTGGATTCCACATTAGCTCTCTTGGCAGAAGCCTGTAAACCAACCTCCCTCCCTCCCTCTTTCCTTTCTTCCTTTCTTCTTAGCATGTAAGTTTGATGTTGCAATTCTGAGTTAACTAACTGATTAATATGGTCAAATGGAACATACCTAACTTTGGTAGTTTTTCTACTACACAGGATTATTATAAAATCTAGATGGGGGAAAATTATATAATTAGGCTTCGCTGCCTAATGTAAACTTTTTAAAAAAATTATCTTGTCACAATATGAGCCTTACTTAACATTTCTGTAGAAACAGCATACTCATAGAGGTGAAAGGAAGAACTGGAAAGGGAGAGGTTCAAAAGTTGCATTTGAACAGATTAGATCAGAGGTTTGGAATTTTGAGTTTGACCTGGGATGGACCAGCTTTTATTTTAGAGAGTTTCAGTATCCTTCTTTCCTCCAAGAGCTATTTTAGTCAGTTTTTGTATGTTACTGGGAACTTTTTTTTAGCAGCAGCAACAGCAGCTACAAATGACAGGAATTGCAAGAAATATAATTCCATGGTTCTAGCAACTGATGAATGCCATTTTTAGCATTCAAAGATATTGCACCCACATCCAGATTGCTGCATAGTACGACCATTTATTACCATTTGCATGTCAAAATACTAATGTAGATTTTTGCAGTATCAAAAGAATGAAGCATGGATCCTACATTCAGTCTGTTTCAAAACAAGATGGCATAGTAGAAAAGACTTACTTACTCTGAAACTAAAAATTATTCTATTTTAGATTAACAATAATATAAGCTTGACTTTCATAGACCAGGGAAAAGCATTTTGCCTTTCCTCCTCTGTTGATTAATGCAGTTATTGAAGATTGTATATAGATGTAAATTTGAAAAATGCCCAACACCAAACAACTGGGGTGCTTTATACTATAAAAAAAATTAGAACAATGAAATGAAAGAAGAAAGAGATGTGCGCCTATAAAAAAGAACTATACATAACAAACCCAAATCTTATAGAGGTTCATCACCCAAGATGAGCAAAAATGGAACCTCATCAGGGTGGGAGCCATGTATCTGTCTGAGGTGGCGGGAGGAGATATTATTTTAGAAGGTGGATACTGTAGCAGGAAAAGTGTTCTTCATCCACCTAGATCACAGTATTTAATTCAATGGGCAGAAATCGTTGGAGATAGCTAGTTCTTTAAGTAATCAGGCTCTATGTCATGTAGAGTTCTATATGCTAGCCAGTATCTTGAATTGCACCCAGAAACCAGAAGGTTCATGGGGCAGTGTTATCATGTGGACAAACTACTGTACTTATGATTGATTTTCAAGGGCAGTTCCATGTATGCCTCATTGCTGCATTCTTTTTTGGGGGGTGGTAGGTGGGGGGGGAGGAGAAGTGCAGATTGATAGAAAAACATAAGGACAAATATGCTGTAAAAAACAGATGAAAAGTTCATTATTTTACCATCTCTTCATAGGGAGATTCTGTATGGAATGAACTTGTGGGTAGTTCTTGTTTTCCCTTTGATCCACAGAGTTCTGAGGAGTTGATGGCTCCTTTTGTTGCTGCGGTTGTTGGCTTTGCTAAAGTTAAGCCATCTTCAGCCCTCCATTGCTTCCCTGGAAGTCTACAACAGTCCATTGTTGGGGTATTTAGGGAATGACCCACCTGATGAAGGAACAGGTACAAATATCACACTAGATTTATCTGTACAAAATCCTTCTTGGCCATAGCTGCTACCTGCTCTTCAAACAAACGATCAGAGTCCAAGATGACTCCAGATTGTACAACAATCTTGATTGGAATAATCAGCCAATCTCATTGTACACATGTTGTACTCTGACAATAAAGATAATAATAATAATAATAATAATAATAATAATAATAATAATAATAAT